CAACGGCTGGTGGAATTTGGGGACCTGCCAGAAGGAAGCTTTCTGGTGGCAACAAACTACACAGGTTTTCTCTCACTTCCAGTCTGTGTTCCTGTTTGTTTCTCAGCACCTAGTGTGTTCGCGCGCGGGCGCGACTGCTTTCAAATGCCGTCATGATACATCGGCTTCTCGATTGATGGACGGATCAGATCCGCTCCCTAATCCTCTCCCCCGGGGTGTCGTGTTTGCTTCTCAAAAGGGAATTAAGCCGTTCTGTTTTGGATCGAGCCAGCGCACAGTATTGCAGATAAGAACGTAAGAACATCAAAGTTTGCCAGGCGAAAGAAGACCAAGGTTTACCTTCCATCGTCCTGACATGCACACGTCATGTCCCAAACTATATATTGTCTCCCGAGATATTATTTCCATTCCCCCTCCCCCCTGAGATGTTATTTCCATTTTTCCAGATATTTTATTCAGAGTAAGATGGAACTTAGCACAGCTTGCTAACCACCTTTGAAATGTGCCAAGATAGAAGAACGAGAGGGACCTCGGTTTAGCTGAAGTCATTTCCTCCATTGCGCCCCGTTAAGGACTCTTTCCCCCGCGCCCCCCCAACCCGCTCTCCCCACATCACTTTGCACGGGAAGTGCCAAATCGCAACCCTCGTTGTAGCACGCTCCTCTGGGTCATCGAGTCGGAATAAATAGAGGGTCTTTGTCAAAGGAAAGGGACATATATTTAATTTAATCATATTTAACCGGCAAACTGCACTGCTCTCTCGAATGGTAAAATTATTTCACATCTTGTTTTACAGCCACTTAATTGCGAGCGTTTACACAAACACGCTGTGACCACTTGACAATGCGTGAAACAAAATAACATGATTCCCCTAAACTCTGCCTCCAGAGCACTTCTAAGAAGCTATTGAACCTCCCTTTCCCCTCGGGCCCAATTATTTCAGTGGAACACAAATATTAACGCATTTATGATCAGTCACGGCTGACAACTCTCCGTGTCTCGGAAAATTACATCATTTGCTGGTTAATAGGCATTAATGGCTCCAGCGAGCTGCTTTCATTTCCTTTGAAATTTCCTGTGGCGTTTCAGTCATCGGGAGCCTAAGGCTGATTATTATTATCATTACTATAATAATAATCCTCTTTATCTGACACAGCGCCTTTCATATCAGAAGGGCGTCTCACAGGGCTTCACAGATTTACTGCAAAGTGTAACGACTGTGTATTTTGTGGGTGGGTGAACGAGGCAACCGATTTGCACTTAGCAACAACAATAAGAATCCTTGGATTTGATATAGCGCTCATCACGTCTTCAAGATGTCCCAAAACTAACTGCGAAGTGAGTGACCAGCCCAGCAAATTGTCGGTCAGGACACTAATTCATTCCGGTGGCTTTACAGTATTGTCAGAGATGCCGTCATTCAGGATGAGATGTTAAACCGAGTTCCTGTTTGCGTTTGTGCAGGTGGCTCTATTTAAGAAGAGAAGGGAATTTCTGCCCAGGGGTCCTGGCCAACAATCTCCCAGATAAAATCGGTTGTTCACTTCATGGCTGTTTGTGGGACATCGTTGTGTGCAAACTGGCTGCTGGGCTTACGTACAAAATACGCGGTCACGACACTTTGCAGCAGATCCAGTGAAGCGCACAGCGACGTCTCAGACATGCGCTCGATCCAAGGATTATTACTGCATGACTTTTGTTGCAATTGTGGTCAGTATTTTGCCATTGTAGCTCATGGACCACTAAATCACTGCCTTTCAAAGCACCTCCATTCTGAACTATCTGCTAAAATGCACTATGGCTATTTAGACCCTGGGGCAGATTAGAGGAGGAAGTAAATATAGAAATTGTTTTCACAGAATGGGTCCATTCGACCCTTTGTGTCCATGCCTCTGCTGTCTTCCTTACCAAATCGCCTCATCTTTAATCTCAGTGTTTAATCTGACTCTGAGAGTCTCCAAATGCTATTAAAGACTGCAATTTACTGACGTAGAACACAGAACGTATCGGAAACGCTTACGTTCAGCAGACTTGGGCAAATAAAGCAGCTCTTGTGCGTACAGAATGTTTAGCTGTTCCACCAGTCCTGACCTGACATTCTCCTGTTCCCCGCCCCACCCCTCTGTAATTATTTGAATTGCAGAATTATTACATAACAGCATTTTTAAGATTGCAACGCTGAGACAAATTGCTTGGACTCGCATCTGGCCAAAACTCTGATCCTTCAACCAAAGGACTATTTCTTTGCTTTTCCTCCTGCGAGCGAGAAAATCGGAGGTGTGTCAGGCTCTCAACCCTCCCCAAACTCCCGAGAATAAAGGGGATACAGTCTTAAGTGGATAACAAATGCCGAAGGTCAGGTGTCAGCCAGGCTCGGTTTATAGGACTCTCGCCTCTGAGCCAGAAGGTCGTGGGTCCAAGCCTCCACGTGAGGATTTTAAACGCGTAGTCTGACCTTTCGATGCAGGGCTGGGGAAGGGTTGCATCGTCGGAGGTGCCGTCCCTCGAATGAGCCTTTGAACCGAGGTCCAGTCTTCCCCTGTGCAGGTAGATGTTAAAGATCCTGTGGCGCTAGTTGAGAAGAGGAGGTAGATTTCTCCTGGTGTCCTGGCCGACAATCCCCCCAGATAAAATTGTCCGTTCACTTCATGGGTGAACGGTCTTGGGCACGAGATTCTCCCCCCACCCTATCCCCCCCCCCCTCACCCACCTTGGAGATTTTCCTCTCGTTGTAGCTTCAATGCTACAGGGCCACTGTGGCTCTGTTCTGGCTCCGCATCTGGCGAAAGAAACATGAGCTGTTCATTATTTGGCTTCCAAGAATCTTTCTACTTGATCAACATTCACCAGCCTTACATATTCTTCAGAGAATGCATTATGTCATTAAAACATGTGGCTGGGCTTGCTTTGAACACGCACATCCCCTCCTCTCTCTCTCTCTCTCTCTCTCCCTCTCTCTCTCTACCTCACCCGCCCCCCACTCCTTCAGGAGTGAGAAAATGGGATTGTCTCTAGGACTAGTTAACGGATCTTGATAAATCTAAGTACCGGCCAGTACATAACGTGGAGTTTAAAAGGATACAACAATTTCCACACAACAATTTTGACTGAAAGCAACAACAGATCAAGCATCATTTTGAACAGTGTCCGTCCTGGAGATATCCACAAGCATTTACTGTCAAGCGTAGTGTAGTGATTGTTTTTGAAGGCATTAGCCAGCAAGGTCCTACAATCAGCCTTATAATATTAAGAATAATAATTATGTTCTTATATATAGCGTCTTATCATGTCTTCAGGGCGTCTCAAAGGGCTTCACAGAATATACTGTAAAGCGAATTGATTGTATATTTCGTGGGCGAAATGGCGAATGGCCAATTAATCTGTAGGAATGAGTCATTGGATTTTTGTGGTTCCACCTGAAAACAGGCAAATAGAACCTGGCTTTAAAACCTGGCTGTGAGCTAAAGCCCTGAATTAGGGCTTGAAAACAGCGACCAACGAACTCATAGTAAGACATTGAGCTAAAGGTTCACCCGGCAAAGATACTAACGCCTTCAGAGGCCATAGACCATGTGGTGTGAGTGCCGACATGCATCTCTTTGTTGAGATAGCGCATATAAATCAATTTGTGACCATTACATGTGGACGTATTGGATGAGATATCATTGATCTCCGCAGTCCTGCAACTCAGGTGGTTGGCAGTGAGCTTTGAAGGTTTCCCTATGTATTCCAGTTGAGCCATCTCGGAGACTGACAAAAACCTTATTGCCCTGGTTTCTGTCAAACCCCATCTGTGTAAAAAAAGAGCAGCAATTTGATCGAGTATCAGTTTCAAAGCGTGTTTCTGAACCAAGCTAATGCAGCACTCACCGTGGAAACCTTCTTACAGTCACGGAGATATTCCACAAGTTTCTTGGCATTAACCATATGTATAGAAAAAGCCTCTGCCTTTAACTGCAGAACTTCGAAGGTTTGTTTGGAAAAGGAAACCTCAAAAGTTGTGATATTACAGTAAAGCTCGTATAAGTCTTATCTTTATAAATAGCAGTCTGTTCACTCACCCAAGTCCCATTCAGTTTGCTGTCAAAACCGTTTGGATTTCCTTGAATTACTCGTATTAATCACCTCCTAACTCGTATTGCTGTGCTCTGCCTCTCTCTCTGCTTTCAACCCCCTGCAAAGACCTGATTGTGCCTTTTCTCTTCAGTGATAGCCTTTGTATAGCACCCTGAGATGTTATCCTCCGGGGTATTTACAAAGCCATGTTAGCCCCGTGTTTTATTCCCTACCGTGCACTGACCCAACAACTAGAACACTAAAATCATGCTAATTGTAATTAGAAGTACTTAATTGTATTCAGGGCAAGTGTTTAATAACAATAATAATCCTTACATTTGATGTAGCGCTTTTCACATCTTCTCGACTTCTCAAAGCGCTTCACAGAATAGACTGTAACGTGAATTGACCGTATATTTGTGGGCGAAACGCGGCAGCCAATTGCGCGCAGCAGCGTCCCCACAAACAGTCGTGGATTGAAAATGACCAATTTATTATTGGTTTGTTTTGGAGGGATTATTATTAGGCGTGTGGAGTAAGGAAACTTGCCCAAGGTTTCGCTCTGCCTGGAATTGAACCAAGGCTCTCGCTTGCAAGGCGAGTGCTCTAACCACTGAGCTACAGGAATCCACAACTGTATCCAGATGTCCAGAGGATTGGCGTGTGTGTGAGCGCCTTCGTTTTCATGGGCAGATAATGATCTGTCGCCATGTTCCGTGACATGGATGGAGTGACGAGGTGAAATGCGTCTCCGGCAGCTTGTTTCAACTCCTCCGTAGTCTTGTATCACGGGTTTGTAACCGGGGGTTGGGTTGGGGTGGCAGGACTTGGTGGACACCCTGTACGCGAAGGGCGCTGTCTGTCTCTATAAGTAAGTAAAGAGCTGCTGTTTGTCTCTCTTCCCCTGTGTGGACTCATCTGGTTTCGTTCTGTTCATTTTTTAGACCGGACGCGTGGACAAAAACCACCCTCTGGTGTGTGGACACACGGCACCTGTGCTAGACATCGACTGGTGCCCGCACAACGACAACGTCATAGCCAGCGGCTCAGAAGACTGCACAGTCATGGTATGTACAGGTTACTGCGTTAACACCACGTGGAGTGGAGCGGTGCGGGGTGGGATGGGGTGGCGACAGGCTTGACGTTATTACGGCTCCAATGGGGTAGAAATTACACCCGAGTCCAGACTCCAAGCTTATTTTCGCACCGTCCATTTTCGGAGCGTACCCGGAACCTGGCAAATTCTTAACCAGGGTCCTTGATTTCGAAGCTGGTTCTCTGTGAGCCTGCTTAAGAAACTGGCTTCAAACTACTTTTTAAGAACCAGAAAAGAAACTGGCTTCCGCTGGGAGAGCGGATTTCGGGATGTGCCGCAAGTCTGAGCGATGTTACATTTAAAGGTAAAATGGTATCACCGGCTCAGGCTAGGTGGAATTCGGGGCTGTCGGTGTCTGTTGAGTTAGTTGATGGGAGTGGGTGAGATGGTACCAGGAAGGCTAAAGGGTGATCTGTTTGAGGTCTTGATTTGAGGTTTTGATAGAAATCAATAGGGAGAAATTATTTCCACTGATAAAGCGAGTCAGTGACTAACCAATTCAAGATGGTGAGCAAACGAGCGAATGTGGGAGATTAGGTTCATTTTTTTTTCACACGTAGAACGGTTGAGAGGCGGAATCTGTATTCGCTTTCAAGAGGGAACTAGACAAATACAGGGCAGCAAATGGGATTGAAAGGCTTTGCTCTTTCTTCTGTGGCTGTGTGTGTCGCTGGTTCTCTGGTAACGTTTAGCTGCGCTTCGGAAGTACATGCCGCTCATCTCTGCAAGCAAAAGGCGTGCGATCTCTCCTCCAGACTGGCTCTGGAAAGCTCTCTGTCCTTGCGGAGCTCAGGGCTTCACAGCTGTGATTTAATGCTGCAGCAGCGAAATAATTACTTCACAGGATGTCAGTGGCTGCGTAGAGAATCGCCATTGCAAAGAATGATCGCTGCCTGTAATCTGAGTGGTGTACGGAACGACCCAGCAATAGCCATAGTAAATCCCGTCCAACAACAACTTGCATTTATACAGTGCCCTTCAGGACACAGGATAAAGACCTAACCAGAACTATAAAGGCTGTCAGTAAAACACTACAGCCAGACTCTCTGTCTGTGCTCAGGTAAAAATACCCAAAGGGCAGCTTCGTCTTCAATCAATCAGAACCTTGTATGGCTCAGTATCACAGTGTCATATGTGACAGTGAGTTCCTGAGGTGCTCCTTAACTCACACTCTCCCTCGCTTTTCCGTCAATAAAAGTATTGAATCCCTTCTGAAGGGTGTCAGGGTCTCCTCTGCTCATCTCGGCCATCGCTTTTTTAAGGCCTGCGAGGAAACGGGCTTTCAAAATGAAGACCGATTTTAAGAAATATCCACAATTCTGCGTGATCATCAAAATCGAGGCAGAACGGTCTGCCAGGCTAAGACTAGGTGGAATTTCAGTTTGCGGCATGGCTCAGTAACATGGTAGTGTATATACGATGTCGGAAATGTGGGTGTGATTGGGGGTGGGGGGCTTACCATACGTAAGCGCTTTGAGACCTCTCAATAGCGTGATGATCGAACGAGAGGATTATTATTATTACTTATCGTTAAAGAGAGAATCCCTGAAGTTCGTCTTCCCGTTACATCTGGGAAGTCATTCACTTCATGGCTGTTCGTGGCTGTGTGTAAACGGCCTGCAGCCTTTGCCGGCAAAACACGCAGTCACTACACTCTACACTAATTGCCGTGAAGCGCTTTGAGGCATCCTCCCGACGGGAAAGTCGCTGTAACCAAAAATAAGGATTATTATTATTATTATTATTTGGACATTTGGCTGGGTTTCTTGTACAAGGACTCACTCCATCAATAACGCTGTGTCCCACAGTCAAACAGACCTTCCTTTCTCCACTTCTCATTCGTTTCACGTCTGTTTGTGGGTCCTTGCTGCGTGCACATTGACTGCCACATCCGCTTACAAAAATACACATCAGCTACTCCGCTTTACAGTGAAATCCTGTGCTTTGAGAGGTTATACAAATGTAATCTTGTTCTTGTTGTTCAACAAGGCGCTGCATCAAACGCGAGGATTATACTTGTATTTGAAATGGACATTGGCATTTGCACGGGGACAGCTAATGTGAACCACGCTACCGCATTTTTCCGAGAACGAGTGCTTTGATCTCTCGTCAGGAATGCTGCTTCACAAGAACATGGTCCCCGTGAAGATTAGATTGCTCCTGTCAGCCAAACACGCCTACTTGCCTCAGTGACCGCAGCTGAAGATGCCACAGAGATCAGCAGCTTGATGTATGGGGGGGGAATGAATGCAAGTCACTCAGGCTGACATTGAAACCTCATCCTTACGACCTGTGGCCATGGCTCAGTAACGGTGTTATATTGAGTGCAAGTGCGGAGAGAAAGGGCTTATCAGACGCTTAGTCCGTCTTCTCATTTCCCATTATAATTGGGGTTCCACTTCGCGGCTGTTTGCGGGAGGTCGCTGAGCGCGTATTGGCTGCCGCGTTTGCCTACCGAACACACAGCCTCTGCACTCTGCGACGTAGCTTGTGAGTTTTGAGACGTGAGAGGCTTTATTATCGTATTAAACGATTTTTATGATCATTATTAATGACGTAACAAGAAAAAAGGGTATTCCCGGTGATCAGCACCGAAAAACAGTTAACACTTTATACAGCGCCTTTCACATCGGGAGGATGTCTCAACCAAGTACTCAGTCAGGTGGTCTTGTTCTTAAGCACTGGTCGTACTTAGAGAAGCCATTAGTTCGGCCACGAACCTCACCCGATGGTTTTGCATGAGAGCAACAGCTCAGATTGCTCAGAGAAGATAACTTTACTCTCCCCTCCCCGCAGAGTGGAAAGGGAGAACGCGTTTCCCTTTCATCACCCGCTCTCGAATCGACTGAGATTTTCGTAACCTCTTCCAGAGCCCCAGAGTATCCAGTTTAGAGCTCGCTATGGCAACAGGCTGTTTTCTAATAAAACACAACCATAATTAGTAGAACATTTTGTGTCTGCTGACAAGAGAAATTAATAGCAAAACTCCCAATAGTAAACTTCAAACTGTGACTCGCTCGGAAAGGGAGTAGCGTCTGACTGTTGAAGGAGTATTGGAATGTTTCGAATTTGGAAGCGTTCCGACGTGGGGAGAAGCTTTCAAGGCGAAGAGGAAATCGTTTCTCTATCGCTACCCTCCCGAAGGCCTTTCTTCCTTCTAAGCACCTCAATCGGGTCAACCCCCGAACCTGTTCAACCCGAGGGGATTGCAGAGCGTCCTCACGCCGCCGTCGACACCTCGGGCCCCCCTGCCCTCGCCTGCACCCGCACCGCGGCTTTCCTGCTTCACGCCTGCGCTGTTACCCAAGAATATCGCAACAAATAGGGCAGTGGCTGGCGAGGTGCAGCGCACTCGCACTCCGTCTGCCGAGCCTCTGTCTCCCTGACGTCTCTTCAGGATCTGAAATGAATTAATGTTTTTGGCTCCCCGCAAAGCACTCTTGTCTCCAAAGCAAAGTCTGCGTTCAATAACCGACTCCTCGAAGGTCGGACTTGATTCAGAAATCTTTGGAGGCGTCAGTCTGGCACAATCAGTTCTATTTTTGCCCCGGAGTCAGAAGATCGTGGGTTCGAGCCCCACATCGAGACATTGAACTCGCAGTCTAGGTGACACGTTTGGTGGGGTGTGGGAAGGGGGGGGGGTGGCTTAGTGGCGGGGAGTTGGGTGGGGGTGAAATGCGCTGCATTGTCAAAGGTGCCGTCCTTTGAACGTGCTGTTAAATTGCAAGCATCGGGTGCCGCTTGGCTTACAAAACGCACAGTCACTACGCTTCCCAGTACAGCCCCCTGAAGCGCTGTGAGATGTCCTCGTGACACGAAAGGCGCTTCCAACCGGAGCTCTTTTGTGATTGATGAAATATGCCTTTTGAATTTTTTTTAAAAGTTAAATCAGATAGTTCCGAAATCTCATTTCCTGGCCGTTCCTTTTAACATGGAGAGCCAATTGACAGTCACCACATCAAAGCCGTTGGCGTGGATCAGTCCTGGGTCCCTGTGCTTTTACAGCGAGTTATTGCATGCCGTTGTTTTAACCTGAAATCCCCCACTCACGTAGTGTGTGAATAGGTCAGATCCAGTGAACAATAACCCTCATCATCTCGTTGAGACGTCTCAAAGCGCTTCACAGGATATATTGTAAAGTGGAGCGACTGTATATTTTGTGGGCGAAACGCGGCAGACAGTTGCGCACAGCAGCGTCCCGTAAACAGTCGTGGATTGAGTGACGAATGTGTTTTTTTTAGGGTTTAATACCCCCGGAAAACGAATCACCAGTCAACCAACAACCCGGTTCCTACGTACTGCTGGGTAAACAGAGGCGTGTGGAGTGAGGCAACTTGTCTAGGGTTTTGCCCCTGCCCGGGAATCGAACCGTCGTCTCGCCTGCAAAAGCGAGTGCTCTTAAGCAGTACGCCTTGGGACTCTGTATGAGCGGGAGCGTTTCACAGGAGCCTGTGGTTTCGAGCCCCACATCGAGTCTTTGAAATCACATTGTGTCGTCAGCCGTGGGTGACCAACTTTGCGTGTGGCAACTTATTTTCTAAAGCCCTCCCCCCAGAAACGTACAGCCCACCCGCCCCCCCACCCTCTCCCCCACCCCTCTCCCCCACCTCCCTCTTTACATTGCCTTGGTCATCGTCTGTCACACGCCTCGGGCTGCTGAGCTCAATGAGGACTGACTGGCAGGGTGTCGGTGACTGATGTTTCCAAAATGTCATGCGAGGAGAGAAAAATATAAGAGCAGCGAGTTTTCAATTACACCAAGACAGCTCAGCTGGAAATTCTTGACGTTGGTTCAAAACGTGATTCATACGGGGCTCGCTGATCCAAATAAGGCGTTGGATTGTGGTGGATCTTCAGGTTGGGATTCTGGTCTGAAGCTGAAGCCAGTGACTTTTCTTTGCGAAACATTCGTGCGACTTGAAGAGGGGAGGTTTCCAGAGGTCAGTGAGGGATAGACACACATGAGATTCCTGGCTGTTCTGTGACCAGGGTCATCCCTTTTTATGGCTCAGTCGAATGTATTCAATTGTATCTTAACTTGAATACTAAAAAGCACGTTTGGTGTTTGAGCAATGAGGGAGCAAGTAATACGTACAGTACATCTTATGTGGAGTTTGGTGTCAACCTGGCTCAGAGAGCAGCATTCTGAGAAGCTCTGAGCCTCCAACCCATCCTACACCCCTCTACTCCCTTCTCATCAGCTCTGAGGAACAACTGCGTGAGATGGGGGCTCTTCTTGAAAGGGTTCGTCTCAGAGGAGACGTCTGCTAATAGGATTGAGTACGTAAACCGGAAGTAGCGGATTCAGAACAGCCAAGGCAGCCGGCTAAGTCAACAGAGCTTCGGGTCTGTGATCGGCAAGTCTAAGGGCAAGGCGCCAGGAAGTCTTTCGTTATACAGAGAGTAATGAATGATTGGAAAGGGTAATTGGGAAACCCGGTCATGTTGCGGGGGGGGACAGGACATTGGAGCAATTTTACGAAAGAGCGTGATGTGGTGATGGGATGATGGTAGAACGGGTGAAATCAAATGGACTGAAGAGGGAGGGTTCTTGATTCGAAAGCTTGTGCTCTTGTAATCCTGCTCGAGCCAGTGAAACTGCATATTCCCCAAGAGCTAAAGAGGGAAACTGCCTCTTTAGAAGCTATAAATTTCAGTGTTAAGCTGTGTTTGCGAGTAAGAACAGAACACGCTGTGCTGTAAGCTTCACTCTCTCCTTTGGCAGGATTTTTCCCACTATCCAGTTTCTCTTAAATCAGAATAATACAGTTCAAAGGGACTCTCTCCCTATTGTGATTGTTTTGCCTGCTCTCCCCCACCCACCCCCCCACCCCACTCCCCCACCCCCCACCCCATAAACGACCTGATACGGTGACGTAAATCATTACAAAATGCACAGTTTGCATCACTTTCCTGCCGCGATGTAACAGCTGCGAGTCAGGCGAGTGGATCTATTTCCTCTCACGAATTTAAAACTTTGCGCACATTCCCTGTGAAGGTTCTCGCCTCAAAAGGAGTTTTACTTCACTCCGAAATGCACAGTCACTTCCCAGTAAAAATCAATGAGAAAGCTTTGACTTTAAAGGGAACTGTACTGTACAAAACGCTCAGATTATTATTTTTATAAAAGTAGTCGTTCGCTTCATAGCTGTTTGTGGGACGTTGCTGTGCGCAATTGGCTGCCGCGTTCGCCCACAAATATACAGTCAATTCACTTTCACTTTCACAGTGTTTTCTGTGAAGCGCTTTGGGAAGTCCTCCCGACGTGAAAAGCGCTATATCAAATGCAAGATTATTATTATTATTATTATCACAGTAAAACCCTGTGAAGCGTTTTGAGACGTTTTGATCGATGACACGACAAGGCACTGTATCAAATGCAAGGATTATTATTATTATTGTACCCTTATTATTATCAGGGCTGTAGCCTAGTGGTTAGCTCAATCGCCTCACAAGCGAGAGGGCCCAGGTTCGATTCCTGAGTGGAACGAAACCTTAGACAAGTTTCCTTACTCCACACGCTTCTGTTTGCCGAGCGGTAAGTAAGAAACTTTCCGGGGGTAATAGTTCGTTAAAAAAACCTCAAAAAAATGTGGTCACTAAATCCAGGACTGTTTGTGGGACACTGCTGTATGCAATTGGCTGCCACGTTTCGTCCACAAAATACACAGTCAATCCACTTGGCATATATTCTGGGAAGCATTTTGTCTCGTCTCCACGGCGTGATAAGGCGCTATATCAAATGCAAGGATTATTGTAATCTTGTCTTGCACATTGAGTCATGATGTTTCTGGGTGAGGCACCGGTGCCTTTGCAAGTGTATGAGTCAGTGGCTTTTTTCGACAGTGGAAAGAAAGAAAATGGGCGAATAAAAGAGAACATTAGATGGTGCTGAGATCTTCACTGTGAGCTTAGCTCTGTGACTCAGTTGGTTTTGTTCCTTCTCTTAAGGTGAAATCCCTCGCCGTACTGCAAAGCTTGATCTCTTCTCTCTTTCAGTCGTTGCTCTCTGATCGCCCTACACTTGTGCTAATCTCATTAAGAGCTGTCCTCGCTCCTGTGCTTCTGAGTCTGAGTGCCCTGGGAGACGCTTGATAGGGATCGAGTCGCCTACTGTGCAGCTAAGGCTTTTATCGGAAGGAGACTGATTAGGTTAAACACGCGCCTGGAATCCGACAGATAGCTTGATGCTTCGAACGCCAAGGCACGGTAATCTCGAGATAAACTAATCACCGTCATTACTGGATTGGAGCCTGCTTTGAAATTGTCACATATCCACACCTATGTATGGCGCCTACACGTGGGCATTCTCCTTGTGTTTGAAACGGAACGAGCACTCTTTATGCATCTCTCAACAACAACAACAAGATTTCATTTATAGAGCGCCTTTCACGTCGGGAGAACGTCCCAAGGCGCTGGACAGTTGGGTCGGGACCCGAGCATTGGGGGGAATTGGTCAGGGTGAGGGGAGGAAAGGGAGGGAGCGAGGAGGGGGTAGAGAGTCGAGAGGGAAGCTGAAGGCATCTCATGAGTAATGCACACTGCTTACCTAATTCCAAAGAATATCAGGTACAGGTTGGCAAAAGCCAAGGCTTGGGGGACCTGTGTTGTAGTCGGGCGTTGGATTTCAGCCAAAAAAAACAATCACGTAGTGTGCCATCGAGAGTACCGCCTGGCAAGCTTCCCGCTGGAAGAGCAAGAGCAAGCGTGGAAAGAAACCTTGCCCGTCCCTCCCCCCCCCCCCCCCCAAGTGACTGTAGGGGTTGGTGGCATGAGATTTCATCTGCTCTGATGACCAGAGCAAGTAGCTGGGTGTCGTGTAGTCAAATGGCCCCAATTGTCTTCTCCGTCTAAACCTCTCTGGTAGAACAGACCCTGGGATAGCACAGCAGGACGTGTGGTTCCTGGGGCTGAAGGCACGAGTAAAGTGCAGCGATGAGAACGCTGTTCGCGTCAGGAAAGAATAATAACTATTAGTTACGGGGGGATTTTTCTACGACGCTGATCAGTGTTTTGAATGGCAAAGGTCCGTTGACCGCGATGCTTGTGGTGGGTCAGAATAACACAGGGATCTCAATAAAAAAACAGGACAAATGTTGGAAATTGCATCTCGATTCCCTCCGAACGCAAGCGCACCAAAGAGACTGCGTGCGTCTCTTTAACTCCCGCCCTTCGCCCGCGTCGTTTGTAAACCGTCGCGATCGAAACCTAAGTGGTGCGGACGACGATTGCGTTCGGCGACGGCCCCCCCCCCCCACCCCCACTTTCCGCAGACGGGAGGACGTCTCGAAGCCCCTGACTGCAGGGAGCGAGCACAGCCACTGTGGGCGTTGTAGGGAAGCCAATGTCGGTGCGTTCTGTGTGCGTGGGGGTGCGGGGGCCGCAGATAGAGCCGGGTGGGACGGTCGCAGTGAGAAAAGGTGACCGTGTGCGCAAGGCTGACTGGCCTGTTAACGCAGAGAGCTGGGTTTGTGAGCCCTGTGCTGAATACACTGTGAAGCATGACTGCCCTCTGCTGTGTGTGCGCGTGTGTGTGTGCGCGCGTGTGTGTGTGTGTGTGTGCGTGCGCGCCACCAGTCTTCACGTGCTTTAAATTCATCCCAATTGCGCTGTGCGAGACGGCTCAGAGTGTCAGCCTGGCTCAGGAACGCAACTAGAACCGGCCTACGAAACACACGGTCACCGCTCTCCACAGCAAAGCCTCCGGAGCTCTTTGAGACGTCCTCCCGGGGTGGAAAGTGCTGCTGTACCAAATGCGAGGGCTTCTGATGGGTTTGTTGAATTCGCTTGGCGCGCTCGCAGGTTGCTGAAATGCGCAAGCAAGCGTCCTGCGCCACACGTAACGGTCAGTGAGGCGTCTCTTAACCCGTGCGTGTTCGCATCCTCTCCCTCGCAGGTTTGGCAGATCCCCGATTACGTGCCGGTCCGCTCCATAACTGAGCCCATCGTCATCTTAGAGGGTCACTCGAAGAGGGTGGGCATCGTGTTGTGGCACCCCACCGCCCGCAACGTGTTGCTGAGCGCAGGTACGCCCACCGGCTCGCCATCTCGCACCCGCTCTCCTCCGAGCCAAGAATCTCTCCAGTCGTGAGACGTCTCGAAGACGTGAATAAGGCGCTACATCAAATGCAAGGGTTATTATTATGTTGCACATCACGACAAAACGAGAGATGATACTAATAATGATCCCGGCCTTTAACGCAGTGCTTTTCACGGTTGAGGGGTCGGAATCGGGAGGGGTGAGGGGTAGGAAGGGTGGGGGGGTGGTGGGGGGGATGCAGGGGTGGGGGGATGGGGTGGGAGTGTGGCCGAAGGGGCGGTGAAAGGTCTTGAGGCGGACCTTGAAGGGAGGTGGGAGGTGTAGTGGTTGGGGTGGTTGGGTGGGGGTGAGGCGAAGGGATTCGGAGGACGCAGTTCCAAAGGGTGGGGGCGGGAAAGCTGATGACCGGACCGCCAATGGTGGTGCTTTTACATCCGCTTCCACTGGGAACGCTCTCCAGAGCCTCCGGAGCCGGTAGCTCTGTGCTGCTGAGCTCTATGCACAGCCACTGATCACCGACAGAAGTAAAGGGAGCTTCTGCTGGAGCCGAACATCGGAGGTTAACAGTGTCAGGGTGGGTGGCAACATCTTAACAGCGACAACAACTTACATTTGCACAGCGCCTTTCGCGTCAGAAGGACGTCCCGAAGGCGCTGGACAGTCAGGGATCCGCACCCGAGCTGGTGGTTGGGCTCAGGAGGGGGCGGGGAAGGCGAGGAGCAGAGGGCGAAGAGGGTGACCGAAGGCCCAGTCGAAGAGTGGGGTGGGGGGGGGTGGGGGGGTCTTGAGATGGGTTTTGAAGGAGGCCAAGGGAGGGGGGTCTCAGCAAGATTATCAGCCATGATCGCCAAGCCGGAGGGTCAGCGAGCGGCTACTGTTCTCCCTGTCTCGATGCATTATTCTTAGAGTAAAGATCTCAGTCGTGTCCTGAGAGCTTTTCTTACATGAGGAACACATTAAGTTTGATCCCCGCCTTGTGTGTTTCAGGCAGTGATAACGCGATAATCATTTGGAACGTGGGCACAGGCGAGGCTCTGATAACCCTGCCCGACCTGCACTCTGACCTGATCTACAACGTGTGTTGGAATCGCAATGGCAGCCTGTTCTGCACCACCTGCAAGGACAAGAAAGTTCGGGTCATCGATCCCAGAGAGCAACGTATTACCACTGTAAGTGGCTTTCTGCCAGCCTTGCGGGGAGTGTGTTTGCGTGTGCGTTTGTGTGTGTCGGGGTGTGTGGGGGGGGCGGGCGGGCAGGAGTTGCAATCGCATGGGAAACTGGAACCTTTAAAGTACCCGTTTCGCCCACAAAATATACAATCGATTCACTTTACAGTATATTCTGGTGAAGGACCTTGAGACGTGATACTGCACTATATCAAATGCAAGTATTATTATTAATTAGTTCCAAAGCTTGTTATCAGGGGCCGGGGATCAAACTTAATGTGTTTCTCATATAAGAAAAGCGCCTCACGACATGACTGAGAACTTTGCTCTCGGAATAACACATCGAGACAGGGAGAACAGGAAGGCATGAGTTTAGAGTGTGCCGAGAGGGGTAATTTCAGGACAGAAATCAGGAAGTATTTCTTTGTCCGATTGGACCAGGGGGGGCACCAGGGACCAGATAGGGGCCAGGATGCTGGGTCTCCTTTTAGAAAATAAAATGGAATAAGGAGCTCGGCTTCCCGGAGGGAGATTGTCAGAGGTGCAGTCCTTCACATTAGACATTAATCCAAGGTCCCAAAAATTCATTAGCCTGTCACAGATCTCCTAATGTTTATTATGGGGCGAGAGGGAGGGAGTTTGTCTCATGGGGAGGAAGTGGGGTGCCCCAGCATTTGCATTCGATAGACAGCATTAGATTTGGCTTTTAACAAACAAATCAATCTGGCAGCCTGGGCAAAGATCCTCAGCAATCGGTTGAATCCAATGCAACTCGGCTTCTACGGGAAAACAGGTGTGTGAAACACTTTCCACATACATGGAGGGCTTTGAGATGAAATGAAATACTGGTACTTTACTGGTGGATCCCAGTAGGAGCTCACTAACTAACCTACCACCAGGGACACAGTAAAACTAAGGCCCCCACTGGGTCAAACTCAACTTCAACTTAACAAACCGAGAGCAAGAAAATGTATGCGAAGACGCGTTACGTTACTTTGGGCGACATCTCTGCAATACCCTCTCTCTCTTCCTGCTACACTGTGCTTAGAGGCAGGCAGGGTGTGGGGTGAAATGGCAGCGAGGAACAGGCGCTGGTTAAATCTTTCATTTCGTCCCTCTCCTCCCCCTTGTGGAGTCCTGTAGTGTATTGGTTCTATAGATTGCTCGCCTCGCAAGCGAGAGGACCCGGGTTCGATTCCCGGGTGGGGTCAAAAAACGTAGGCAAATTTTTCCTCACTTTACGCGCCTCTGTTTACCGAGCAGTAAGTAGGAACCCGGTTGTTTTCGCAACTCGATAGCCCAGCCGTAGACGGGCAGAGGAGAGAATTCGTCATTAGCCAAGAGAAATTTGGAGCAGAAGCATTTTATTCCCAAACGATTCCACGGCTTCCCCGCTGACGCCCACGGTTGTGGTTTTCCTCCTGGTAACCAAAGGCGATAAAGCAAAGCAAGTTGACGATTCTGCAACTGCGTGTACCTCCCCACCTCCCCCCCACTCCCAACCCCCACCCCCAGGGCCTTACCCCCTCACCCTGCAAAAGTTTAAGTGCAAGTTTTGGGGGGTGGGGGGTGGGTGGGGTGGGATTTGTGCATGGACGTTTTCTGGGTCACTTACCGTGTGCTGTGCTTTGTGAACTGACTGCATGTCTGTTTGGTTTTCCATCCCCTCCCCTGCCCCTTCCCCCTCCCCTGCCCCTTCCCCCTCCCCTGCCCCTTTCCGCTCTCCTGCCCCTTTCCCCTCCCCTGCCCCTTCCCCCTCCCCTGCCCCTTCTCCCAATGAATGTGTTCCCTCGTTGCCCGACGCGAAACAATGCAACCAGGAGAAGGACAAGGCTCACGAAGGAGCTCGCCCCATGAGGGCCGTCTTCACGTCCGACGGTAAAATTTTCACCACCGGCTTCAGCAAGATGAGCGAGCGGCAGCTGGCACTGTGGGACCCGGTAGGAGACGGTGGCACGTGCCAACGGCGGGGAGGGAGGGGCTCTGCGGGGAAACCGCCGAGAGACAGGGAGTGGGCCAGACGCAAAGGCTCACCGGCAATCAATCAATGCCCAAATGCCACGTCAGTGGGATGAGAAACACAGAGAGAGAGAGGGCATGTTTGTCGTCCAAACAAAAAGCCTGGGTCTGCCACCTGGCAACGTAGACGGTCAGTGAGGTGATGGGCGGTGCGGGCGAGGGAGGGAGAAATCAGATCCCATGTGGGCAATCTGCGAGCGTGGCTGTTCTGGTCGTTGTAACAATAATTTGGTCACTTCAATCCGGGACACTGCTGTGCGCAATTGGCTGCGTTTCGCCCGCAAAGTACGCAGTCAATTCACTTTACACTATATTTGTTCTGTGTGAAGGGCTTTGAGGTGTCTCAACCTTGTGATGAGACGCCTCATCAAACTCAAGGATTATTATTATATTAGTATTATTATTATTGCCGGCGCAAGACACTTTGGGCTGCTCCCTGTCTCTAGGTTCCTTGCCGTGAGCCTTCGTGCAAAGAGAAAGCATCAGAGATAGAGGGGGTGGGGTGAGGTGATGCTGCCCTCAAATCCGCCAGAATTTCCGAAACGTATTTAAAATTAAATGTTAAAAGTTTCGCCCACAAAATTTACAGTCAATTCACTTTACAGTATATTCTGTGAAGCGCTTTGAGACGTCTCGAAGACGTGATAAGGCACTGTATCAAATGCAAGGATTATTATTATTATTATTATTATTATTATTATTATTATTATTAGGGACTTGCACGAAGTATGAGGCTGGCGGTATTCTTGAGTCAGCCAGCAGGGGGCACACTCTGAGACTTTCTCTACTACAATAAAAAAAAGTTGGGAACTATTTTCTCCAGACAGTGGATTTTGCAAATATATGTTTGGGTTTGGGGGTGGGGACGAAACAACAAGGATCCGGCCTTTTGAATCCTGTCTGAAATAAATAATTCCCAGGTTAAAGCTGGAAAAAAAAGTGTTTTTTGTTTGGCTTCCGGATATGTAACCCCTTGTTTTTCTCCGCTAGGAAAAAATGGCTCCTCATGACGGTATGAGACCGATGAGAGCTATTTTTACACGAGAGGGCTACATCTTTACCACAGGATTTTCCCGAATGAGTCAGAGAGAGCTGGGGTTGTGGGACCCGGTAGTACTCTTTAGCAACAAGGCAAAAGCACCTCATGCATTATCCCCTGGCAATGGATGATACATAGGGGCTTAGTCTCTGGTGTGAAGTGTGACTTGCATGGGCCTGGTTATATTACAGAGGGCAGGTTAGACTAGTACACGCACCAGCATGACAGCTGGGGATGGTTGGGGTGGGTGGGGGTTGAGGTGGACCTGGGTTCGATTCCTGACAGGGCGAAACATTGGGCAGGTTTCCTTACTCCACACGCCTCTGTTTACCTCGCGGTAAGCAGGAGCCCAGTTGTTAGTCGGTTGGCGGATTGCTTTTCCGGGGACAATAATTTCTTAAAAAAGTAATAATTTGGTCACTCGGTCCACGGCTGTTTGTGGGACACTGCTGTGCGCAATTGGCTGCCGCGTTTCGCCCACAAAATACACAGTCCATTCACTTTACAGTGAAGCTCTTTGAGTCGTTTGGAAGACGTGAAACGGCACTATATCAAATGCAAGGATTATTATTGTTATTATTATTACAATAAGCCATGGGCACCCTGATCACTCAGACATTGCAGAAAGCAGTCAATGCACTTCCGATTGCCAATAAGACCAGCCCACGGTAAAGGGATGCCATTTCGTTAGGATCGACGTAAAGTTGGGCAACACAAAAAATTGTTACAATGAGCTCCGGCCAAAAAAGAAAGGACGTGTGGGTGAGGAAGAAAGGGAAAACTGCTGTAGATTTCACAAAAAAAGAGGGAACTCTCGACAACGACATTCGGAGTCTGGATGACTTCCATTTCATTTCCAAGAAGAAGCAAACAGACAAGTAGGAAGAAAATAGGTTGCACAGTAGATTGAGCTGTTATACTAGCGCTTAATAGCTCTTTATCTTTCTAATCTCATATCCTCACGCTACCTCCCTGCCCCTTCACACCTTACCTACTTTCCTAAGCACCCGGCCCTCTCCCTATTAAACCACCTCAGCTGCTTCTGCAAGCTCTCCGAGACTCTGCCCAGAGTGAAGGTTACTGTATTAAATGCAGGTTGTTGTTGTTGTTGTTGTATGCATGGCCTCTTGGGGCAGCACATCCCACATTCCCACAACACCCTCAGTGTTAAGGAACGATTAAATTTTGACCACGAATGTTTGTGGGCGACTGCGGTGCAGAATTGGCTGGCGTGTTTCGCCCACAAAACACACAGTCACTACACTTTACAGTGCATGTGAAGCGCTTTGAGACTTCTCGACGATGTGATAAGGTGCCATATCAAATGCAAGGATTATTATCATCATTCTATCCCCGATTTTAAGGTAACAGTCCCTTACCAGAGTCTTAGCTACTCGGCAATTCCCTTTAAGTCCTTAAGTTGACCCGTGAAGCGTTTGAGATGTCTAGAAGACGTGATAAGGCGTTATATCAAATGCAAGAATTATTATGATTAAAAAAGGGAACAGTTTCGTAGGCCGGCCCTGGTGACTTTAGCCTGAACGACAGGAACTGAGAGCTACGAGAGGCGAGGACAAGGTCTCGCTGAGATACACTGAGGTTTGACATTAATCTCGAAACTCCCCCCCCCCAATGGCTGCTTGGTGTGAATCGCTCATAACGATTAACATTGGATTCCGTGTGATAGCAACCGGCTCAGAGAGTGGACGTCTCCGTGACTCAATGACCTCTCCTCTGTTCGGCCTTAGAAAAACTTCGATGAACCCATCGCACTTCAGGAAATGGATACCAGTAATGGGGTGCTTCTGCCTTTCTACGACGCCGACTCCAGTGTAGTCTATCTCTGTGGCAAGGTAAGTGCGAGTTGTGGGGTTCACATGCTCAGAGAAAATACGTCTCCCGCCTCACCCCCCCTGCCCCCACCCCCCCCAGCATTGGCGGGCGGTCCTTCAGCCTCTCTGGCCCACCTTCTGGAACTCCATTCCACAGGCCCTCCCCCCTCGCCCCCTCCCTCGCCTCCCTCAAGATCCATCTCAAGACCCTCCTCTTCGACCGTGCCTTCGCTCAACCCTCCTGCCCCCTGCCCTCCCCGCCCACCACCCCTCCTGATCCCAACCACCAGCTCGGGTGCTGATCCCTGACTGTCCAGCGCTTTGGGACGTCCTCCTGACGTGAAAGGCGCTGTACAAATGTAATTTGTTGTTGTTGTTGTTATAAGCCAAGACCAGATGGAATTCAGACCTCCAATGTGATACATTGAGACCTGTCCCACCCCTCCCCCCTCCCCCACACCTGACAAATCATTTTATCTTTGTTTCTGTCCAGGGGGACAGCAGCATCCGATACTTCGAGATCACGGATGAGCCCCCGTATGTCCATTACCTCAGCACATTCAGCAGTAAGGAACCACAGAAAGGCATGGGCTTCATGGTGAAGAGAGGCCTAGATGTCAGCCGCTGCGAAATAGCAAGGTCTGTCTGCCGTTCTCGGTGTTTCAACCCATCGTCCCCCTCAAACAGTCACGTTGGAGGGGAATAAGTCACATAGCACGTTGACTCCTGGTATGGGCCGCTACCCTGGGTAAAGGGTGCTGCATAAGTTGTTGTCGTTGATCGTAACATCCGATCACTTCTGTTGAACCTCGCCATTGCCCTCCTCCCTCCCTCCCCCCCTCCTCGGTGATCCGCTGGATTCATTGGCGGATACCAATTATAGAGGTGGAAAGGTTGGGAATCTGACACGCTGCGTTGACCTTCCCTTTTCAGGTTCTATAAACTACACGAGCGGAAATGCGAGCCCATCACCATGACCGTGCCTCGAAAGGTGAGGACCGCACCGTCTCTCGTTACTGCAGCGATCGTTCGAGAGGAGGAGGAGGGTTGGGGTTGGGGGGGTGGGGGGTTGTTGGGCTAATGCAAACACTTGATCCAATTGTGACCTAAATAAATGACGATTCTCGCAATCGATATACAGCAAATTAGCATGTCGGTGGGTGTGGGGGGACGTCTGAAAGTGCTTCACGGGACTTTTTTCCGGCAAAAATGTAGTGACTGTGTGGTTTGTAGGAGGATGTGGCCGCCAGTTTGCGCCCCGCAACGTCCCCACGGAGGGCTGTGAAGTGTACGACCATTTTTTTCATCGGGGTGGCTGGGGTGTGGGGGGGGCGGAGAAGGGGTGGGGGTCGACCATGAAACAGGGCCTACGGGGAAGCCACTTCAGCGGTTCCCACCACCCACCCCCCCCCCCCCCCTGCTGTTGAACGCACAGAGTCTTACTTGTGGCTTTTATTTCCCCCCCAACAACCCCCCCACTTCCTCTCCCCCCCCAACCACCCCACCCACCCTCCACCCACGCGGTTGCAGTCGGACCTGTTCCAAGATGACCTGTACCCAGACACAGCGGGTCCCGAGGCTGCCCTGGACGCAGAGGAGTGGATTTCGGGGAAGAACGCAGACCCTACGATCATCTCCCTGAGGGAGGGCTACATTCCACCCAAAAACCGAGAACTCAAATTTGCCAAAAAGAACATCCTGGACAATAAACCGCCTCTCGGGCCGCGGAGAAGTTACTCCACCTGTGATTCCAACTTTGCTGTGAGTTCTCGTCCCCGGAAACAAGTGTCCTCTGTCATTTCCATCTCCTTCGCCTCGCTCGCTCGCTCGCTCGCTCGTTCTCTCTTTCCCTTGCCTCCTTCAAGACCCTCCTCTTCAACTGTGCCTTGAGTCACCTTCCTACCCCTACCGCCTCCCCCCCCCCCACCCCTCTACCCTCCCACCACCCTTGCTCAGGTCCAAATCCCTGATCGTCCAGAGCCTTGGGACATCCTCCTTACGTGAAAGACGCAGTACAAATTTAATCTTGCGTTGTATTGTATCAAAGGGGGTTTACGATTGGGGCATTCCCCCCACACCCCCCCTCCTCCCCATCCGCCCCGCTGTAGCTGGACAACCCAAGACCCCAAATAATAGCTTTTTTTTTAGTCTTAAGAACATTACCTTCAAATTTAAGATTACAGTGTTTTTGGACCGTTTTTAAGATCAATTCCAATATTCAGTATTAAGTTCAATCTCGATATTCATTCTCACCAGCCACATGAATGCTGCTAAGTATCGTGCACTTGTTATAGCCCCCCCCACCCCCATAACGTCAATATTACTGCCAGTTACTGTGCCAAGCTCTCCAAGACACTTCCCTGCGTGTATTGTCTGGCCAAACACAGCAGTCACTTTGCATATAGCAAGTGTAATCTGGGGGAATTGTTGGCCTGGAGACCCCAGGAGAAACTCTTTGATATAGCGGCTTATGACGTCTTCGAGACGTCTCAAAGCGCTCCACGGAATATACTGTAAAGTGAATTGACTTGTATATTTTGTGGGCGAAACGCAGCAGCCATTTTCGCACTGTAGCGTCCCCACAAACAATCGTGGATTGAAGTGACCAATTTATTATTATCATTATTTTTTGAGGGAGTTATTAACCCCGGAAGAGCGATCCGCCAATCGACTAACAACCTACTTACTGCAAACTTGCCTAACCACTGAGTTGCAGGACTCCAAAGAAACATGCCTTTCTCCTGAGGGAGGAATTGTGCTAATTGTTCTCTCTTTCTACCTGACCAGCGTACATCCTTGGAGGAGCTAATGGACGAGATCAAAACACTGAGGGTGATCGTTCAATCCCAAGAGCGACGCATCACAGACCTAGAGAACAAGCTCTCGAAGTTCACCAACGGCAGTGCTTAATGGCACCCTTCTCCCTCCCACCCTCCCACCTTCCCTCCCTCCCTCCCTCTAGCATGCACTTCAAAGGCATTAGTGCTTCATTGCCAATTCAACTCAACTCAACTCATCATTGTCCCATCTCGATAATAACTGGTGGCCAAACAATAGCAGCTCTTGTAACGATCTACATAAAAGTACACGCATTCGATTTAACGTCTCAAATGAGCTGAGACCCCGTGGAAGTATTTTAGCATTTTGTGCCGGAGTTTTGGTTTGCGGGGCCTAGCGGGTGTTGGTGGTTGGGGTGGGCGGCGGGGTGGGGGGCGCGGGGTTGGGGGTGTGTGTGAGGGGGTGGGGAAGAAAGAAATTCATAGAAAGTGCAGAGAGATGTTTGGGAGAAATGGCAGTGAAGCAAAGCGATGTGCCATACACGCGATCGGTATCCCCGGGATCGGTCCAGGACGAGTGTTATCATCATTTAGCTAAGCATCCGTGAGCAGATGGCTTCAGTATGTCCCTCAGGGAGTCTTTCCTTGGTGATAGCATTGGTGTGTGTGTGTGTGTGTGTGTCTGGGGGAATGGATGGTGTGGGGGTCGGGGATGGGGGTGTTGGGGGTGGTGGGGTGGGGGTGGGGGAAAGAGAACGAAAGCCAAAGTCCTCAACAAGACCTCAGTGTGTTCCAGTGGGTCAGGTTGAGGGCATCTCGGGTTGGACTCTTGAGCAGGGACGCAACTCTTCGAGTGTTTTTTCCAGTAAGAAAGTAGCTTCCACGCAATCTCCTGGCAAACTTCCTCACAGCCCCGCTGTCTGCCAAACGCTGTCTGAGAACCAACGCGTCTAAAGATTTTTGGTGCGTCTCATTCTTTTCGCGCAAACAAACAAAAAAAAATTCGGACTTTTTGTCCTGCGAGTCAAAACCAAAGGGTGTCCACAAAGTCCTGTTACCCCCATGATGTTTCTCTCTCTCTCTGTCTCTCTACAGTGCGCTGACCAACAAACATGTGAAACATGTGGAAGGGCAATGTTAATTGTATCTAGAAGTACTTCATTGTATTCGGTACAAAGTGTTTCGCTGTATGTTTAGACGTCCAGAGGTTCGGTGTGCGTGCGTGTGTGTGTGTGCGTGTGTGTGTCTGTGTGTGTGCATGTGCTCGAGCGCCATCATTTTCATGGCAGATAATGATCCGTAACATGGATGGAGTAACGAGGCTAAATGCATCTCCGTGACAGCTTGTTCCAGCTGCTCCTTTATGTCTCGTACCGTTGTTTTGCACACAGTGGGGAGGATGGGTAACGGGACATTGTGGACGCCCTGCGCATGACGCACAGGTCAAGAGGTTGAGCTTTAGGGTCTGGAAGGCACTGGGACCTCTTTTGCGAATCAGCCCACACGGCGGGAGTGAGTTTCAGCTCATTGTGTTCTGTGAGCTGACGTGGACTCTCCTCGGCTTTCTTTTATGTTTTATTTAAAAGAAGCGTTGCTTTTTTGTTTTTTTCTCCCATTGCTAGTTCTTAGTATTTATTTTGGGCCGACAGACAGTCGACCGACAGACAGACAGTCAGACAGATAGACAGACAGACAGACAGACAGCCTGGACAGTTGTCCAAAGAGTTGTCCCTCTCTTGAGTTCCACTGACGCTCGCCTATCTGTAGGAAGATGGGGTAAGAATTGACGCTCTTGGGCTAAGATTTTTTTTGGGGAAGTGGGGGCAGAGGAGTGTCAGTGTCAGATTTTCTAACAGTTAATTAAGCATCAGCACCGACGGGCGAAAGCGAAGTCAGCTTCTTGGCCTCTGTTACAAATGCAGTCGGGACGAAACGTTGAGTCCTTCTTTGCACAGCCCTTTCAGGCGCGGCAGCCCTGAAATATCTTGTCCGGGGAGAATTAAATGCGGAGGAACTGTGTGTGGCGACGAGTTAGCGAGTGGGCAGAATTTCAGGTCTGTAAAGAGGGTTAAACTACACCCAAGCCTAAGCAGGGAGCTACAACAATACGCACGCTTTTTAGATTGCCATCCCATCCGCACCACCTATAAGCTAAGGGCTAGCTCTGTAGAGCTGAAGGCTTGACACACAGTATTAGTCTGCACTCTTTAACACGGCGCTGTCCAACCAGTGGCCACTGGGGTTCACATTTGGTCATTTTGCTTTTAACGATGGCGGCCAAATCCCACATTGACGGCTCAGCCTGCGTTTCAACTCGTGGGATTGAAATGGATCTTCTGCCCGCAAAACACACGGTCAATTCACTTGGCAGGACATCCTGTGAAGCGCTTTGAGACATCTGGAAGCCGTGATAAGGCGCTGTATCAGATGCAAGGATTGTTGTTGTTGTTATCGTGTCGAAGCATCTCAATCACTGGTGTATATGTACATGATGTGGCCAGTGGTCACTGGGTTGGAGAGTGCTGTATTGACATGTTCACGGTTCTTAAGCCGCTGTCCTTGTGTTTTCTGGTCTTTTAAAGAGATGCGAATGTAAGAACGTGTTGAGTGCCCAACTCTCCGCAGTAGGCGAACGCCCCTGCCGTTGCTTTGCTGGTACGCCAATGTCTTAGCCTCAGGATTTTTGCTAGGCATTCAGGACATCATCAACTGTAAATAAAGAGTATTATTCAAACACCCTTCCACGCAGTATTAGTGCACTACGCACCTCTCGAGCTAAAGTAGCCACCAGGAAATTGGAAGATGGAGAACGGAACAGTCGGTTTGTGCGCAATGTTTAAAATCTTTTTTCTTTTTAAAAACTCAATTATTGACCACAGTCGAGGAGTTGGCGCTGAGACCCTGGTTTGTGTGGCTGTTGCCGGGATTTCTGGCTGAATGACTGTTCCTCTCGTCGAGAATGTTTCTGTTTAAACTTCCTTCGACCCCTTGCTTTGTAAGATTACTTTGCTTTCCCGTGTTCGTGCCTGCAAATTCATACCTGAAAGGGGACAAAATGGATGGAAGAAGAGCCTTGGCCCGTCAAACCCGTTCCTCAAGCAAAACCATGTAAAAATGCCCTATTCGTATTGGAATGCTCCATCAATGTACAATCTGAGACGCTCTCTCTATCAGTGTACACGGGGATCATCCTGACCAACAATTCCACCCAGTTAAAAGTGGTCACTGGCTTCAGAGCTGTTTGTGGGACATTGCCATGCGCAGATTGGCCTCCGCATTTACCCACAAATAACACAGTCACCACACTTGACGATAAGCTCCTGCGAAGTTCTTCGAGACGTCTCGATGATGCGACCAGACATATCGACTGCAGGGATTATTATCGTCACGTAACAGTACTGTGTCCGGTGCGCAATTTGCAAGCTGCCTTATTGTGGACTCAGCCAGGTTCAGTTGAATTGCTTTATTTCCCTTAAAAATCCCCCAATTCAATAATATTGCAGCCGCACGGTAATTCCTTAACCTCGAAGAATTCACCGTCGACAAATTTGAAGTCCGGTCCCCTCGTTTGGAAAATCAACGCAAAATTGTGTCACTCCAGAATGGTTAATTTTGTTCACTCAAACCACGACTGTTTGTGGGACACTGCTGTACGCAATTGACTGCTGAGTTTCACCAACAAAATACCCAATCAATTCACTTTACAACATATATATATATGTACACAGTATATGCAGGGAAGGAATTATTTCCTGGTGACTGGCAAGGTCATGATCCTGCTCAATCTCCCTTTGCGACCAGCGTGACACAAGGGTTACTCAAAGACAGCCTTTCTTCAATCAAATAGTTTCGGATGACCGAGATTCGCAACGACACGAGGCTGTGGAGCACTGTTAATTGCTTTGTTCTTTCTACAGGGCTTTACCTGTCCTTACTCGAAACTGCTGATGCGTTTTAGCTAAGAATAGCTCACAATCTCTCCGGTGCTTTCAGGTGCTGCACTGCGTCAGCTGAGTTAGAATAATAATCCTCGTCTTCGATATAGCACCTTGTCACGCCGGAAGTACATCGCCTCAAAGTGCTTCACGGAAATTACTGTGATGCGTAGTCACTGTGTGTTTTGCGGGTGAACCCGGCAACCGATTTGCGTTCAGTATTGACCCCAAAGCAGCCCCTGAAGTGAAGGACCGATTTTATCTGGGGCATTTGTTGGCCACGACACCGAGAGAAACTCCCTTTGCGAATAGCGCCACGGGATCTTTTAGCGTCCAACCGAACAGGCAGACGGGGTTTTGGTCCATTGGTCATTTTGCTTAATAGCAATTTGCGGGGCTTTGCTCTGTGCAAATCAGCTACTGTGTTCGCCTACAAAACACACACAGTCACTGCGCTTTACAGTCAATCTTGTGGAGCGCTTTGAGATGTCCTCCCGACGTGAAAAGGCGTATCAAATCCGAAGATTTCTTTAAAACACAAGAAATACCATTAAAGGGTTTAATGACCTCTCAACCACTGAACACTTGATATTAAGGGGAAGGAGGCCAGAGGAAATATTGGCCCAAAATTCCACCTGACTTTAGCCCACAAGACTGTTTGGTCTTAAAATTGAAGGTCCTATTCAGAGTACTTACGTTGCGAAGCTGATGTTCTACTATTAGTAAACTCAAATCAGTTTCCATATTAAGGCTAAATTAAAGAATTTTCCACAATGCTTCACTTGCAAGACATTTTAGGTCTTATAGATTGAGAATACGTGACATGCAACAGCAAACTCCTATTACAAAGAGAACTAGTGCACAAGTTTATTTCAACAGAGCTCAGCATTTAGGAAATGACAAGAATAATCCTAATGAAACCAGTCCCTATTGGCCTGCTTTAAGAAGCTTCTCGGGACCTGTTCACGATGGGCAATAACTAACCAGTTTGCCAGTGGCGAATGAGGTTCGATAAGCACACTGGTCAGTGCTCGCTTGGTTCTGGTAACCAGGATAATATCGGCAAAGAGCATCTATAATAAAATCACCTGTATAAATTGTACGGTGTCTGAAAATACATTGTGTCTTCAGTGATGATTCGAAAATCATTAGGGTCGAATTTGCGGGTCGGGCTAAACATGTGCAAAACGCCTCCAAGGGGCGGAGATTGTGGGTGCCCTTCAGTCACCTTGTTAACAACCAGCGTCAAACAAAACGACACATTTATCTGGTTTCGTTTTAGTCGGTTGTTAATCACTCATTGAAAGTAGAAAGTGGTGTCCGGTAGCCCGGCGGTCAGAGCGCTCACCTCCCAAGCGAGAGACCCGGGTTCGATTGGGCAAGTTTCCTTACACCACGC